TTGATCTGTTTGGGAGGCATCTAGGCAATATATGTTTCTTAATAGCAGTGCAATAGAAGTCATAACTAACCACTCTTTTAAAAACACATTTTGAGATACAGTTAACTTTTATTCTACATGGAAATCTACAGTTTCTTATTATTGTATACCTAATTCCTAATATCCCCTTCACTTGTGTTCTACTTCCTTAATAGAGCTTTTGAAGACTTGAAGTCTCATTTGATTTGATGCCTTACATGACCTAGAAGATCAGTTCTCAAGGCATGACCACACCCCACTCAGGTGGAAACCTTTCAACTACAAGGGCGTCACATATTTTTTTTCTTTTTTTTACTGACTTATTCAAAGCATAACTGTTTTACTTAAGAAATTTATATTCAGAGGCTGGAGTCAGGGCCCATAAATTAAAAGCACTGACTACTCTTCCAGAGGATCTAGGTTCAAATCCCACCACCGACATGGTCATTTACAAAAATCCAGTTCTAGGGGCTCCATAACACCTGCTACTGGTCTCCAGGGACACCAGACACTCACACAATAAATAGACACACATGCAGACAAACTGTCTGCAAAATACAACAGAATACTAAAAAATAGTGTAGATAGATGATAGATAGATAGGGATAGAGATAAAGGTAGAGATAAAGATAGAGATAGATAGAGAGATAGAGATACATAGATATAGATATCTCCAAATAACATGTTGTATTTGACTGAGAAAATACAAATTTTTGAAAGTTCAAATTATTCTTCTATTTATCTTAAATTGTTATTTTTATTTAAAATGTAAAACTTCATATCTAAATATTCATTTTAAATAACTAATCTTTCCCTAAATATTCATTTTAAATAACTAATCTTTCCCAAAAATTAAGTCATCACTTTACAGCAAAGAAACACACTTTTTGTAGTTAAGGATATTAATGAACATATCTAATGTATGCTGAAAACTTCCCTGTCTTATGTATAACGCCACTGTAATGTAGGTTCATTGATACCAACTCAGAAATAAACAACACTGTCCATCCTGATTGTTTAAATATAAAGAAAAATTTTATTGAAAAATCATTTTAATAATGAACGCTTATTTTTAACATGTTCGGACAAACCACACATACAAGACAGAAAATCAAGTAAGATTTTTGATTCTCTGCAATGTTTGAAGTTAACGGAAACTATAAACATATTCATAAATCCAGCATTTTTTTTGGAGTAGCCACAGTTTTCATTGCAGAGAAACAGTGTAAGACATTTAAAAGGTAGTTTTTTGTTTGTGAAAACTTCATCACAACTAAAATACTAGAGATTAGTTTATAGTTCAGCAACCAGTTAGTCCCTGGCCTTGTAACCAGCAAATTCATCCCCTTTTAAAAAATATTCCAAAATAACCTGTAAGAAAAATACAAAATGAAACAACAACAACAAAAAAAAAAAAAAAAGAAAAAACCAGCAAAAACCAAATGATTAAGTTGATGAGAGATCTGCTGGGTAGTGTGGTCAAGGAACACAGCCTGCGCTTTCCTATAGGAAACCAGTAGGCGGTGTCAACTCTAATAGATTACCTGGGACAGCTTTAAAGTCCCAAACTCCAGTACAGGTGATGCATTTAAGTAGTTGCAGAATTTCGGCTAAATTAGTGGAAGCAGGAATTGGGATGACTTGAAAGTCACAGATAGAAATTTAAAATAAACATTTGATATAATGCATCAACATTAACTAAATGAAAACAAAAGATAACAAAAGCCATGGTCTTTAAGTAGAGGATTCCACCAGAAACCCCCTTCTCATCAGGTGACACTTGTTGGTCTCTGGTTTCAGTCTCTTGTGGAAACAATACATACAGAACTGCTAAATAGTTGTCTGTCTTCTCAGGAGAGAACATGCTGAAGTTGGGACAGAACTTCAAAATTTGGACACCCCAATTTTCTCACACAACTTATTTCTTCCTTGCTCTGGTTCTGTTTGTTTTGAATTGTTTTTCAAAACACTAAAAAATTTATCATGCATAAGGCCTACAAAAGGTATATCTCCTCATACATCATTTTAAGTGAAAAGTTCTACATATATAAAACAACATGATTTAAAATATTTTTTAAAAGCATAGGGTATAGCAAATGAGTTTTAAAAGTATTTTTTGTTTGCTGCCTAAGCCATAGGAAAGGCCATATTTGAGCAATGACCTCACTGTACGAAAGAAGAAATTCTATATTTAGCTTTAGAGTCATAATACGAGCTTCAAATTTTAGAACTATTCACTTCAAGCAATAAAGACTGTTGTTTGCTGATTGCAAAGTGGTCTTTTCCTCAGTTAAAGATGCAATGAGACTTCTTAATGAAAAGCTGCCTGACTACATATTAGTAAATGAATAAGTAAGTAGATAAATGAATAAATAAGCAACCACACACATATGCCACTTGCTGAGATCTTCAGAGTTACACAAATGTGACACAAGTATGCATATCTTCCTCGAGAGAGCAGTGCATTTTAAACTTCCTTTGGAGTCTATATTCTTTCACTGCGAGACATAAAACACAAAACGCCAAACTTTTCACATCAGGAGCTGCGCATACAGAGATTCAGTGAAACATTCACTTGAAAATCCTATAGAACAAGTTATTCACCCTTGAGCTATAGGTCCTTCTGTTTTCTCAAGATGAGTTTTTATTTTTATTTATTTATTTACTTAGAGAACATAGAAGAAAACTTAGTGAGGTAAAAAGTAATTTCATTTAACTTCATTTTATCATAACCCAAGGAGTGTGCATGAGAAATTTAACACTGAACTTCTCATTTAAGGTGAGAAAAGGAAGAAAATGAAAGGTTCAAAACAACCTATTCAAATCCTACTAATTCCTCTCCAGATTTGAAGATTCAGTCTGTCTTCCCTGTGTTTATTTGGGGACAAAGCCTGTTAGTGTGACAAGTAGAGAAAGGGTTTTTTATTGCCAGACAATGCAATAGTAATGAAAAGTATTGCTGGGTTTACCAGATGCATGCAACAGGACACCCAAACACCTTTGAAAGCATTCAACACTGAGTACTTCAGCACCAACAACAGTGGCCACCTTCAGTAACCCTTTGCCCTACCCTGTCCTCTGGCCTGGGGGGAGGGGGACGTCTCCACAACCGGTATCCGGTGGGTAAGAAGAGAGAAACATTGTCTATTTAAAATGAAGAAAGGCTAATGTTGTACCTTCTAGGCGTCGTCTCATTAAACCCAAGTGAGCACCGGTACAAGTGACCATTCCCTCTCCTCGGACGACACCAGCAAGGACTTAAAACCAACGTAACACCTCCGGGAAAGCACACGAAAGACAGCCCTGAAGAAGGTAAACCCGCTGGAGGCAGCGGAGGCGGCTGGGAAGGACCCGAAGCACTGCTCACGCGGGGCGCGGAGGCGAGAGTGCGGCGCTCAGGGACCGCTGCCATCCTAGAAACCTCCAGCTCCCGCCGCCTGGCCAGCAGCCAGCTCCGGGGCGGCCGCGGTCCCCGCCCCTTCACCTCTCCGTCTCCAGCGCCTGGAGGGCCCGATCGCCCCACGGCCAGCGCCCCGCGGGGCCCTCTGCTTCCGGCGCTGCGGGTGGCTCAGGCCAACTTGCCGGACCGCCCGTGGCGCTGTGGCCCCCTGCAGCCAGCACAACCTAGGCGCCGCCGGGGGAGGGGGTTGCGCGCACCTTCAAAACAATCACGGCCCGGAGAGCACTTTGGTTCTGGCTCCCGGCGCGGCTTTCCCCATCACGGGCTAGGACACAGCCCGGCACCGGCGCGCACACGCGCACACACCCTCGCACACGCACACACGCGCGCACACAGACTTCTTGGCCAGCGTTGCCATCACACACCCGGGGAACGCCACCGAGGGGGCCAAGTACCTGCTCTCTGCGAGCTGTTGTGCTGTTCACTTCATCCTCCGTTGACAAGGAAACCAAACCGCACTTCATTTTTTTTTTTTTCCAGAAAAACCTTCCACTGCCATCATTTGAAAATTGATTTACGGGGAGGGGAGAAGGAGGAAGAAGGGATAATATAGATATAGATATCAGGATATCTATCATAAAATTATCTCGGTTTTTTTAAATAAAAAAGTCAAATGTGCAAAAGTCATAGTTAATGTAAAGGAGGAAAAAAGCATTTGCTTAAAAATAATCCCATTAACTAGCTGCAAGAAAAGTTTCATGTTATCAACTGATATCAAAAACAGGAGGGGAAAAAACGAAATATTTCTCACAGGCTTCCAAAAAGGTCATAAAAATGCAAAATTAATGTCTTTGCTCAGTGGTGCGCACCGAATTGCAAGACGACAAACTTGTGAGTGAATACTGCTGTAAAATCCCACCTACACAAAAATGTAATCGGAAAAAGAGTATGTAAAAAAGAGTTAGAAACATGCTTTCTTATCTTTACAAAGGGAAAAAAATAGGCATCATACTTCACAACGCTTTTTCCATAAAACCAGTTGCACATTTTGCTGGACTTGGGAGCCGCTCGCAGCGGGCACAGCTACCGCGGACTCCCAGACACAGCGCCTTGTCTAGAGAACCATCGCATGCTAGGAAAACTTGATTCAGGAAAAGGCTTAAGACCATGCTCGTCAGCTTTCCCAAATACAAACAATAATCAAAGAAGTGGGAAGAAAAAAAAAGAAGAAGAAAAAAAAAAACAAAAACAAAAACAAAAAAAGGACAAAAAAAAAAAAAAGAATAGGACAAGAATGCCACTGAGAAGGTACTCACCGAGCGGGAGTAAAATGTTGGAATAAAAATGAGATTTAGGAAAATACAGTATGGCGGTGGAAGAAGGAATGAAGCGCGTTTTTTTCTCAGTCTCTGCCTCGGGCACTGACACGTGACTCGGAGCCAGGCGGACTTGCAGGCGGCGGGGGTACCGCGGCTGCTGGGCGACCTCGGAGCCTTCGAAGCCCTCTGAGCCGCTCCGGCGGGCACGGCGGTGGGAGCCCGGCGAGGCGGCCTCCTCGGCGAGCCAGCCGGGACTAGCAGGTGCCGCTCACGCTGGGCTGAGCGCACGCACACGCACACGCAGACGGGCAGGGCGCGGGCTAGCGGGGACCGCGCGGGGCGGGCCGGAGGCGCGCAGCTGCCGCCGCCGCTGCCGCCGCTGCTACTGCTGGTACCGCCGCTGGTGCTGATGATGCGGGCGCCCCGCCAGAAAGGGCAGCCTAGGGATGTTCAGCAGAGGCCTCGCAGGCTACACAACTTGCTGTCCACTGCAAAGTTGGCGCTTGCTACTTGCTTATTTTTCGGCTTTCATCTCCAGGTAGTTTCCTGCGGAGAGCTCCTGTCCTTTCCTCTCCCCAAGTTTCACTCTTCGAGCCCGGTTTAAAACTCGATCGTTTTGTTCATTTGATCTCGAAGTTCCTATTTCTTCTAAACTGCTTTGCCTATGTCACTTCCTCCCCCTAGGTCTGTTTCCCACCTTGTGGTTCTCAGGGAACCTGGATTCGTGCTAGGCGATGCGGGGGGCGTTGTCACTGCAAAGCCAACGTCAATCCCTTTGGCTCTCTGAGGGTATTCCCCATTTGAAAGAGAAAACAAAATCTTTTATTTGGAAAATTCCCATCCTAGGTTTTCTTTTGCTTGTTGGATGGTGCTGGGCGGGGGCGTGGACGTGTATAATTTATTCTTTCGTGGGCCGGGCATTGTTTGTTTTGTCTGCGTGAACACCAGCTTCGACCTGTCTGGAAGGCTCTTTGAGTCCGTGCTCCAGGCAGGGTCCTTTTTGACTCCTGCAAGTTGTTTTCTCAGGCTGCAAGTCCACGGAGAGGAGAGAGGGAAACAAGTGAGTCCATTGTGTGAGTGCTTGCCCGGCAGCAAGCACCTGGCGGATGGTCGAGAGGGGGAGATGTGCGCCACTAACCAGAAGGCAGCCTGAGCTCAGGCATGAGCCAGGAGACTGAGCAGTGCTTTGGAAGGTGGAGGCGAAACAGGGAGTTCACCCAGCATCTGCTGCGGGATGCCTGCCTTTGGAACAAAGATTCCATCAGCCAATCACAGACTGCTTTGGGATTCTTCTACTGCTGCCTGTTGCAGAATCAGCTTTCTGGGCTCTGCAACGCATTAATTTTTCTTCATCATTCATGCAATATTCATATCAAAACCATTTCTCTGTATTGCTTTGACTCTGGATTTCTCAAAATTAATTGCCACGTCTGCGTTTTAAAATGAAAATAAATACAGTTTCTTGGCTCTCACGTTTCTGCTCTGATCTTTATCTCACTCTTTCCAATGTTGACGTTTAAGATAAAATGTCTGCATAGGAAAGAATCTAACCTGGACAGTTTTGACATTTAAGTATGCATTCATTATGGAGAACCTAGCAGCAAATGCTTCTCCAACATCCTGGGCAGAATTCATTGATCAAATAAAGTATTAATCCACAATTTAAACAACAGATATTTAAAATAGCCATTAAAATTATTAAATATTTATCTTGGTAAGTTGCCAACTGGACCCACTTATTATTCACACTTTCCAGAGAGGATTCGAAATGCTGACAGGGACAGATGGGTGCATCAGAGTGGATTCCAGAAGAACTTAAGAAGCCTTAAGTTCTGTGCAGAAGCTACTGGATTTTCATCTGGATAATGCAAACAAATGTGGTTTGTGCTGAAACCATGTTGCTCTACATTCTTTTGTTTTATTTTGTTTTGTTTTGTTTTTAATAGATCCCTGTAAACATGACTGTTTTCTTCCATGTCTCACGAAGCTCTCACTATTTCAACCTGAGTTTGTTAAATTTTCCAAATTTTCTATCTCTTCAAAATATCCAGATCCAAATACATTAAAGTGAAGTCACTTCTAATGCACATATTTTCCCTTCTCTTACAGAAATACTGGAATGTGAGCAACTTCACTTTAAAAACGAGTTTGGGAGCTTCAGATCAGGCCAGGCAATGTCTGGGTTTAGAGAGAATTATTCAAGAAGAACTTTGAAAAACAAGCTGTTTGGAATTGCACTGCAGTAATGGCCGCCAGCCAATCACAGTGATTGTCAGGCTTTTATTATTCAATAAAATGACTCCCCTTTATGTTTAATGCAGCTCTGCTGAGGAAAAGCAAGCCATCAATATCCTCCTTGCACTTCTTCCATTTACTTACATAATTGCAGACCAGTGCTTAAAATATTCCACTACCACTTACTTCCAAGATGCCATTCTCCCATTTTAGGTTGAACCACCACATTAAAAACAAGAGGAATCGAAGTCAGGTTGAAGGAACAGCATTTACAAAACACAGGCTGTTGTTTAATTCTTATACAGCTCTGTGACATAAGCATTATTAACCTCATCTCTAAAGATTTAGGAAAACAAAGTCAAAGTTTAACTCATTTGTGCAAGATTCTACTGTTACTGCACAGAAGAGTCTTGGTTGGAGCACAGCTAATTGGTTTTAAAGATAGGATAAAGTACTCCAAAACCTACATGAAGGAAACTAACTCTCAAGAGTTGTTGTTGATATCACTTAACAAAAACATGCTTTTCTTAAATTCAGTATATCTAAAGGATATTTGTGGAATTAACTGAGATACAAATAACAGTTGTAGCACATATAAATTTATTGAAATTTTGATCTCATAAAACTGGAAAAGAAGGGAGTAAACATTTAAAGTATAATAAAATAACTATAGAATTCAAACAGAATAAAGAAAAAGTAAAACAGGTTTTAAATGAAGAAAATAATCTTTAAAAATTTCCTAAGCAAAAAGCAAACAGACAAAAAAGAAAATCTGTCAGAGAAGTGGCTGTGTTGTCTTGTTCTGCTCGTGTGTTCAACAGTTAACACAGAAGCTTTCTAGAGGTTAGAATAGACAAATGACTATTCTGATTCTCCTCTGAGGTCAGCCATGCAGCACATACAAATATGAAGTATACTAAATTTAAGAGGAGACCAGTAATTGATGATACTAGAGGAAAATTCTATTTTGAAATCTATGCTTTACAATTTAAACTTTTTTTGTCAGAAAATGTTCATCACATATGAAATATTTATGGGCACAAACATATGAATATATACTTAATTGGAAATTTTGTGCAATATAATAATATGACTTTAAGTAGATATGTTTATATCCAGGGCCCTTAAATTACCTTTAAAATATAATACTGATTGATATTTTTCACAATTTATTCTTTTTTTTTCTTTATTTTTTCCATCATCATTTGTTCTATTCCCACTGACAGACATTTATTTCAAATTTAGTCGTGCTGTATAATTTTCCTAATATTCTTATCTAGAGAAACTACAGCACCAATAGCAAAAATCACCATGAAATGTGTACCAATTGCCCAAGATGACAAGGTAATATGAAAATATACATAATACATAACAAAGCATGAATAAAGAAAGACAGGGGTAAGTATCAGGATTTATGTGTACTTTAGTGGTAAATATCTTACTCTTCACATACAATACTTTATAGAACTCAAAAACATTCAGATATATAAGGAAATACACGAAATTATTAAGATTGTGTATTTGTATGTTAAATAAGTAAGTATGTCTATGGCTAAGAAAGTACATATAGAACAAATTAATGTGTATACTAATATTACTTCTTGAATGTATTTACTTTAATGAAATGCTCTGAAGGCATTTTTTTACAAAGTGACCTAAGCAATAGAAGTATGTACACAAAAATGCCCTGATAGCTTCTTTGTAGATAAAGAAGTGAAAGTGGAAAGGACACATGCAGCACTGTGCTATTACTCATTGATTACTGACCCCACAGTCATTCACATTAATGTGGATATAAAACACGTCCCTTTATACATTTAGAAACTAGGAATTTTTCCAAGATAATTCTTCAGATTTTTCCCGTGAAAATATGGCCATCTTCAGGCTAAACATAGACATGTAAAAAAGTTCTAAATGTTAAAAATATTAAGCTAATTTAAAAATGCTTTAATATAAATTAAGATAGCAAATGAGAGGCCTTCAGGGATCAAAGAGATGGGGAATTTATTTGAGACAAAACAAAATGTGATTGAGAAAGCTCATTAAGGAAACCATCCACAACTCTGCATTTTCATTTTTCTGATGCTTGATATGTGGGATATCAAGAAATGCTATGGGCTGGGTGTGGTGGCACATGCTCGTAATCCAATCACTCAAAGTAAAGGCTGGTAGACCTCTGTGAGTTTGTGCCCTGCCTGTTCTAAATAGGGAGTTCCAAGATAACTTGAACTACATATAGAAACCTTGTCTTAAAATGAGAGAGAGAGGAGAGATATTTTTATAATCATAACCTGAAGGTCTGCAAGACTTCTCCCAAGACCATCAGACTTAGCAGGTTACAGCAATGGACCTTCCTTATCTGTTGAGAAGGCTATAGACCCTGTAATGTGAGTGCCAACTTCTGTGGCAATGCTGTCCTTTCCAGTAAAACTCTGAGAAAGTAAAGGTGGTTGGAGAGAAGAAAGATTTCTTCTTTAGTACTTGTGATATTGTCAAATATAACCAATATATTCTCAGTCTCAATGATAAGAATGGCTCTCTATTGAAGAAATTTTTTAAGCTTGTATTTCTTTGGAAAATGGCAGGTTTGAGGCACATATTCAGGAAAGCAAACCACTGGAGGCTTGGGCAGTTCATAGCTGAACTGTCAACAGTATGGTAGTTAAGTTTTATCTCCACTCATTTCACCCTAAAGATGAAAAAAGTGAGACTCAGTGAAATAAAGTAGCCCAGGAGCCAGGAAGCAATGGAGCATAGACTCAAGTCTGCAAGGTGGTACAATCTGGTGGCTTCCAGAATGCACTTGACTCTACCCATTTGTATCTGCATCATGACAAATTCACATTAATCTCTGTGCTTCAATTCCCTCATCCAGGAAACAGAGAAATAATAAAACCTACTGAGTGCCATGAAGAGCGCAGAGATTTCAACAGTTCCAGGGATAGACTATGCTTTGGTTACTCTTACAGGAGCCATGCTGTCTTACCCTATCTTACCCTACCATATCACCCTAAGCAGGAGCTTTCAAAGCTGGGAAAATCTTTCTGAGCAGCTTCCATTCTTCTGAAAACGCCTGAGCAAACAGGTCATTTGGTAACCAACCTGTGTCTTTGCACTAAAGAGGCACAGGGAATGTTGGGACATGTGCCAGTAATGACAAAAGCAAAGGAAGAGGGGAAGTGAGGACGGGGCAGAAGGAAGAAAAGAGGGTGATATAAGACCAAGAGCCTGGAAAATTCTTCCCCAGAACACCTGAAAATGTGAGACAAGTGCGAACACTGGACAGATTTGGGTCACACAGATGAGTCCTAAATGGACATATGACAAAAATACCTTAGAAAAACACTGAAGACTTTACCATGTGCTGCTTTGGTGAGTCTGAATATTGCCTAAAACCTCTACAGAATATTCCTGCCTAAAGTTAAGGAAAATCGACCTTAAGAATTAACGTTTATTTTAGGATAAAACCACAAAGAGTTATCATCATTTGTGTCTAACACTCAAGAGATTTGTTGTTCTAAAATAACAAATCTGATATCATTGCAAAATTAGTTTTACTCCTGAAAAGAAATCTTAAAAACTGTTGTTTTACTTTTCTTTTCCAAGATCTTAGAAACATAACGTTGCTATTTTATAAGGCACAATGTATTGTAGTAATTATTCTCCTGTTTTGTTTTTCTTGTTTCCTTGTTTTAACTTCATAAACTGTGAACTTAGGGATAACCCAGGTTTCAAGTATCAGCATTAACATAAAGTTATAATTTTTTTTTTCTGTGAGTGAAGGATGACTCATTTGTCTGAAGATTCCAGCATCCAAGAGATGAGTCCCAGAATCAGTTCATCATTCTCAAGTTTGTGTAACCATCAAGCAGAGGCTCTATTATGTTCATGGAATTTAATATATGGATGAATTTTATTAATATGAAGCCTATGTCTTAAAAATAAAATTTCCTTTTCATGTAATGAAATTAAGGGATGTTCAAAAGCCAGACAAATATACAAAACAATTTTAGGATGCCATGCAATGATCTTTTCTGCAAGTGTTTGTCAATAGAATTAGTTATTTAAGTAATCTACACTTGCTCATCTGCAGCTTTTGTATGAATACAAGACATTTGGACAAACTGAGAGTATACTAATTCTGCTCTGTAGTGTGTGCAGATATGCAATCAACCCTTTGTTTATTGATTTCATTGAAATCACGTGTGAGTTGTGTTTACATATTTTTAAGTTTTAT